AAATCAAATAATATCTTTTTATTCACAAATCAAGTTTTTATTTATTAAAAAATAATTTAAATATGTTTTTAGTATTTAATTTTTCGTTTTCATGAATCCCTCTAAGAGATTATTATCTTAAGTTTATTATTCAAATTTGAATTTCACTAAAGGTCCGTTTGATTTTAAGAATGAAATTTGTGTAGAAAGAAAACGAATTTTAGGGAATTGAATTGCTTATAACTTATTTTCCTGGAAATTATCAATTAAATATATTTGATTGGTATAATTTCTACCTGAAAAATGTTAAAATTTTGGATCTTTTGATGCTCATTAGGCTTTATTTTTCATGAAAGTTGTCAATTAAAAGGATATAATTTTTTTACAATTACGGATAGAATTTTTTCCAATTGTCAAAAAAAAAAAAAAATAAAATAAAATACGTGGCTGGAAAACCAATTCCCATTTGTTTTGATTTTCCACCAAATCAAGGAAATTGCACGTGTGTGGAGGGAGAGATGGAAATGGAATTGTCAAGAAAATTTTGCAATCAAACAAGCTAAAAAGGTTTCCATGAAAAATTAGGCAAATTAAATAGGCCCTAATTTTATGTGCCTTCCATTTTTTATAGTCTTATGGAGAGAGAAATATTCTTTCATAATTATATTAACTTTTGATTTGGTGAGAGAAATTTTATCACTACTATTAAAAATTTCATCAATATTCTCATTATTCACCCAAAATATAGGAAAAGATCTTTATGTATCTCACGTTTAGGAAAAAAAAGGTTATAAGGATCCATTCTCCACGTATTTGTCACAACTTCCACGTGAAAAGAAGTCACAAAAATAAGAACGTCGCAACACATAATGTTATATACAACTGATGTCTCTGATATGGACAATATAGATACAAAGTTGGTCTATTGCATTCAAGGTCACAATTCCAATGACAAGACATATGAGGGAATAAATGTCATATTGGACACAATATTGGAAAAAAGACATATGCATACTATATTAATTTTTATACATATTCCTCACAACATCAAAGAAAAAATGTAGCCACATAATAATCGATGGCGCATAACATAGTACTAAATGTTTGAAGTAGTTTGATATTTGTGATCGAAAATCACTCTTACAATTTAATGTAAATCGTCTGTTGTGACCGAAAAATAGCTAAAGAAAATTCTAATTAATGGAGCCACAATTCCATGTTGTTCTATCTATATATATCATGTTTTAGGATGGAATATGGTGTGAAGTAAAATAGATTTATATATATCATGTTGTTCTTGTATATCCACCAATTATGTTGCGGTTATTATCTTCTATAAATCAATTAATATCAATTTTTTTTATTTTTTATTTTTTCAAAATTTCACCAGATTTTTGAAAACTTTCTCAAATCTTGATATTTTTTTAAACACTAGTCATTGTCACGTGCCTCGCATGAATTTTGTATTTATCGTATTTTATTATTGTATGAATTTTAGTTTTTTGGAAAGTTTTTGAAGTGATATTTAGAAATATTTTTATGATATAAGAAAACGATTGCAAATTATTTTTACAATTGTAATAGCATTGCAACAGTATTGTGTTATTTAGAATGTTAAGAAATATCATACTGAAAATTTAAAATAATTAACAAAAACTTTAAATTCATCCGAGAAATGCTATGAAATGGATTTGTAAAAGAAAGTCAAAATTCCAACAAAAGCACAATTTCGGCATAGCTAATTATTTTCCTAGAACTATTGTCTTGCCCAATGTTAGTTGGGTAAATTGACATTAATTCATTTTTGTTGGAATAGTGTGATGTTTGATGTTAATTTGATGAATTCATTTTTGTTGGAATACCGAATATTTAGTTTTGCTAATTTTATTGTGGATGCTAAAAAAAATAAAAAATAAAAAAAATCCGCTCTGCAGTTCGTGTGAGCAAAGTGCGGAGTTACTCCCAAAAAGTATGGAGTTACTCCGTACAATCCGTACACATTGCTTTCTTCCACATCCCACTGTTTTTATAAACTTTAATAATCTTATTATGCATAAAAGAATCTAGCTGGTACTCTTTCTTCTTCATCTGAGAAATAACTAACCAAGTATCTTTTACCTTATTCGTGTGAACATAATAGTCAATAAGTATTAATGTTTTGCGATTCCTTACCAAACTCGGATCATCTAATAATCTCCAGATTTTATCTGCAAATTGTAATAGCCTTTTCTAAACATCTTTTGAGCAATGTATTAACAGTTTTAATTCCTGACTACAACCCGAAAGTATAATCTCATTGAAAATAATGTCTGCCAATACTTTGAAGAGCTATTACCAAGCAAGGACACTCTGCACGCAACGTGCTGAGAGAAGGTGCAGAGAGTTTTTTTTTTTGTGCTCATGACAGTTTATAGTATATCGAAGAAGTAAGGAAAAATAAATATTGCCTAAAAAATGGTGAAAAGTAGGGAGAGCGAGAGAGAGTGGAGGAAAAAAAAGAAAAAAATTACCAAAAAAAGAAAGAAAATCTCTCGAGTTGGAGAGAACTCTCCGCACAGTGCGGATATTGCACTCTGCACCGTGCAAAGAGTGAGAAGAGTTCTTTCCAACTCTCCGCAAAGTGTGGAGAGTGCACTCCGCTCCAACTCTCCGCACAGACTCTCCACACTCTTTGCACGGTGTGGAGAGTTCTCCAACCCCCCGCACAGTGTGGAGCGATGGCTTCGCACTATGCGGAGAGTGCGAACAGATGGAGAGATGGCTCTGTACAGTGCGGAGAGATAGTCTCCAATTCTCTGCACTGTACGGAGTTTTTTTTTTCTAGTTTATATATATATATATATTAAAAAAACAATGGATAAAACAACCAATTGCAATAACTTTTAAGTTCAACAATCCAATTGGAAGAAATAGCTTTCCCATTAACCAAACGAATAAAAATGGATGAAATGGACCAATTGTAATAATTTTTGCAATTAGTTTTGAAAATTTTGTCGCCTATTTTTCCCAAAAGTAATCATATTAATTGTGTCAAAGCCATTAAATTGAATTTCAAAAACATACACAATAGAGTCTCAATTAAAAAAAATGAAATTTGACAGCACACAAACCACCTCTTGACACCAATAATAAGCAAAAAATGTTACAAGGAAACATTCAAACCTTGATCAACGATTAACAGGTTAGTGAGTTTTATAATTGAAAATAGAAATTAAGCTAACCTTAGTTTGAACAAGATTAGAAGCTGCCTTGTAAACATTATCCGCAATTTCTTTAAAATTGGGCTTCAAGCTGAGACTCTGATCTATCCAAACCCCATTAGCGAATGACAAGCGAGGCCCACCAAGGGGGCCACCGTTAGAGAAAATTAGAGTTACAAGCTGAGAGCCAATCACCAATTTCTGGGCAAAACTTTCACTTTTCTGAGGAGATTTCGTTAAACTTGGAACAAAGATAGAGAGAAAAAGATCAAACGCAAAAAATATAGGTTGAAGGAAATGGAACAACCATAAACAAAAAGAGGAAAATGAAGATTTCAGGATAGCTTCAAAATATCATCTTTTTGGAGCACATTTTGATCATAATATGTAATGAAACCAAACTCAATCTAAAACCCAATTTATAACGAAATTACACAAAATCTGAAGCTCAAACATATATAGGGAAACACATTTTTTGCTTTGATTTGGGTTGGATCTCTTTAAAGACCGAAAACAAAATGGGGAAAAATCGATCATTTAACAACACAACTTAAAAACCAACTTAAAAATCAGAAGGAACATATATAAGAGTAAGAAATTGAAGGCGTGAGAAGTATATTTACCGGTATATGTCTCAATTCCTGCAAATTGTTTGTATTTTTTCCTCCATCGAGAGAGAGAGAGAGAGAGAGAGAGAGAGACAGACAGACAGACAGATTAGGGTTAAAGCAAGAGAAATTCGTAAAAAAAGAAAAAGCAAAACTGTAGGAAGAGCACCTCAGAAAAGTAATAAAAATGAAATCCTGCTTTGCGCCTCTGGTGTTTCTGCGCCTCCAGCATTGTCGCTCCAATAACCACAAGCAAAGGTGCGAGAATACTGGTTGCTGTGTAGGCTCTGATTTTTGTGTGAAAAAGAGCTGCTTATAGTCTTTTATTTTTGTGTGAAAAATGGAGAAACGGAAGATTGTAGGTAGGAGAAAGAGAAATCAAAACGATGGTTGCGTGTTGAAATTGAAATAATTTTGAAGCTGTTAAAATCGGGATGGGATGAAAGAATGAGATTCAACACTATTGTAGATATTACGTGTCCAGAGATTAGAAAAGGCATGGCCATAACTATGAAAATGGAGAATGGAATAGTTAAACCAAAAAAAATAAATAAAAAATGATGCCATTTTTTCTCTTGTACAGTAACTTGGGATTGGTTTATTATTCATTCTACAGTAGCAACCACTTTCCTCTTTTTATAGAAGTTAGATAATCTTAAACAAGAGTAATAATTTTTCCCTTTATCTAAAGATTAATGTTACTCGTACAAATTGAGAATATTAACATATGAGGTGACAAAAAATTGAGTGAAATGCTCACACATTTAGGCCTCATTTGGTATCCATTTTTTTAAAAATATATTTTTTTCTTTCTTATTTTCAACTACATATTCTTTATTAAAATAACATTACACCTAAATAAAAAAACTTCTCTTTATTTTTCAACCACATATTTCTCATCAATTTATTATTCAAAAATATATTTGTACATAAAAATATCTCCCAAACACTCTCTTAATTGACCTTCTAATTTCATCACTTATGATTCTTTGTTTGTACATATAACATTATTCTTACAACTTGTTTGGGAGTGATATTTTGCTCAAAAAATTGTTTTTTTGACTGTTATTTCATTATTTCAATCGTCATATTTGATTTCTTCTATCAAGTGAACCCACATTTCTCTTAACGATCAAAAAATCAATTTTCAGAGTCCACAAACAATGTATTATTAAAATTCCCATTTCAATACCATAGTTTCGTGTCAATCCTCAGCCCAATAACTGCCGAAAAGAACTGGAGCAATGGATATATACACCAACAGGCTCAATCTTCTGTCGGTGAATTCCGCCATGGCTTCCGGCTCTGAACTTCCTCTACATTCACCAGAAACGACGTCGTCGGCTATGGTGGTGGCGGAAGAGGAGGAGAAGCCGTTGGGGGAGAGAGTATCAGCAGCAGCTTTGTCAATTTATAATTCTCTTCCCAAAAAAGGAAAGCCTCAAGGGGGTGAAGTCACTGTTTTAGCGGCTTTTCTCCTCTCCAATCCGTCTCAAGGTTAATATTATTTATTTTTCTGTAGTCAACATTTTAACCTATGCTATAATTTTACTCTTTTTAACAAAATTTTCTGCTTCTCTTATTAGAGTTACAAGTGGTGGCATTGGGCACGGGAACAAAATGCATAGGGCACTCACGGCGGAGTTCGAGAGGCGAGGTCGTGAATGATTCGCACGCCGAAATTATCGCCAGGAGAGCTCTTCTTAGGTTCGATTTCATTTTCGCAGCAATTAAGCATGTTCAATTGTCTAACTTTTCAATGCCTGGTAACTTGGAAGTTCCAAAAAATGTATACGGATCTTGATTTTGATAATTTTTGTTAATAAAAATGAAATCCTGCTTTGCGCCTCTGGTGTTTCTGCGCCTCCAGCATTGTCGCTCCAATAACCACAAGCAAAGGTGCGAGAATACTGGTTGCTGTGTAGGCTCTGATTTTTGTGTGAAAAAGAGCTGCTTATAGTCTTTTATTTTTGTGTGAAAAATGGAGAAACGGAAGATTGTAGGTAGGAGAAAGAGAAATCAAAACGATGGTTGCGTGTTGAAATTGAAATAATTTTGAAGCTGTTAAAATCGGGATGGGATGAAAGAATGAGATTCAACACTATTGTAGATATTACGTGTCCAGAGATTAGAAAAGGCATGGCCATAACTATGAAAATGGAGAATGGAATAGTTAAACCAAAAAAAATAAATAAAAAATGATGCCATTTTTTCTCTTGTACAGTAACTTGGGATTGGTTTATTATTCATTCTACAGTAGCAACCACTTTCCTCTTTTTATAGAAGTTAGATAATCTTAAACAAGAGTAATAATTTTTCCCTTTATCTAAAGATTAATGTTACTCGTACAAATTGAGAATATTAACATATGAGGTGACAAAAAATTGAGTGAAATGCTCACACATTTAGGCCTCATTTGGTATCCATTTTTTTAAAAATATATTTTTTTCTTTCTTATTTTCAACTACATATTCTTTATTAAAATAACATTACACCTAAATAAAAAAACTTCTCTTTATTTTTCAACCACATATTTCTCATCAATTTATTATTCAAAAATATATTTGTACATAAAAATATCTCCCAAACACTCTCTTAATTGACCTTCTAATTTCATCACTTATGATTCTTTGTTTGTACATATAACATTATTCTTACAACTTGTTTGGGAGTGATATTTTGCTCAAAAAATTGTTTTTTTGACTGTTATTTCATTATTTCAATCGTCATATTTGATTTCTTCTATCAAGTGAACCCACATTTCTCTTAACGATCAAAAAATCAATTTTCAGAGTCCACAAACAATGTATTATTAAAATTCCCATTTCAATACCATAGTTTCGTGTCAATCCTCAGCCCAATAACTGCCGAAAAGAACTGGAGCAATGGATATATACACCAACAGGCTCAATCTTCTGTCGGTGAATTCCGCCATGGCTTCCGGCTCTGAACTTCCTCTACATTCACCAGAAACGACGTCGTCGGCTATGGTGGTGGCGGAAAAGGAGGAGAAGCCGTTGGGGGAGAGAGTATCAGCAGCAGCTTTGTCAATTTATAATTCTCTTCCCAAAAAAGGAAAGCCTCAAGGGGGTGAAGTCACTGTTTTAGCGGCTTTTCTCCTCTCCAATCCGTCTCAAGGTTAATATTATTTATTTTTCTGTAGTCAACATTTTAACCTATGCTATAATTTTACTCTTTTTAACAAAATTTTCTGCTTCTCTTATTAGAGTTACAAGTGGTGGCATTGGGCACGGGAACAAAATGCATAGGGCACTCACGGCGGAGTTCGAGAGGCGAGGTCGTGAATGATTCGCACGCCGAAATTATCGCCAGGAGAGCTCTTCTTAGGTTCGATTTCATTTTCGCAGCAATTAAGCATGTTCAATTGTCTAACTTTTCAATGCCTGGTAACTTGGAAGTTCCAAAAAATGTATACGGATCTTGATTTTGATAATTTTTGTTTGTGATTCCATTTAATTAGATTGAAATCTCGTTACTATGTGCATAGTATGAAGTGATATTCGTGAGTTTGCTTAGTGTTTCTCGACTACCTCTCATAAGAAAATTGAGTTAATTACTAAATAACTAGCTCGCCATCCCCAATGAAGGGAAAGAACAGATGAAGGGTTGATTGAAAAAGGCAAAAGGACGGGCCAAGCAACTTCAACAGTTTCGATGGTTGCATGCTTCTGATTGAACACTATTCACAATGAATATTGGAAAACGACTCCTTTTTAATCCTTCAAGCATATGTTGCCTATGTTTTCGGCTCATTATAGTAATTCAAAAGGAGAATAGATAAAATAAATTTGTGGTCCATTGTCATCAAGTGACAGCTGAGCTAGTTTTTTTTTTTTTTTTTGCCTAATTGCATATTGTAAATTTTTTTGCGTACAATTTTGTTCTTGATTGTCTCATTTCTGACATAAGAGTTGGTATGTTACTGTATGTGAGTTGATGCTCAAAATCTTATTTCACTTGCTGAGAGTTTTTTCAATGTTAGTATTTTTTTATTTTTTATTTTTTCCTCAGGGATGTGCTTGGTACATTGAATTGGGATCTAGTTGAAGCAATCAGAAATGATACTATTGATATTTGATTTATTCTTCATGAATTTCTCCTTTAAAGTCCTGGTAGCATGCCATCCGAAACAGCATCAAATTAATGTGATATACACATGCTTGTTGAAATCAAGTTAACTTGAGAAAAATCTTTGAATAAATTAGATATTCTCTTATGTGAAAGGGAATTGTTGCGTCTTGTCAATCATATAGTTTAATTGGAATGATAAATTGAACAGTAAAACTAAAGAATCTGCAGAGACGGAATCCCAGTTTCTTAGTTCAATGTGGCAATTGGAGAAGGGTTTTAAACTGTCATTCATTCAATATCCTTTAAAAATAGAATAACTATAAATGACATATTTGCGGCATGGTACTCCAATGCTGAAACCCTAATCTTGCTAATCTGTACTAAAGTCGTTATTCTCAGTTATCTTATAGTATCAATCATTCTAACTAGATTGCGTGGTTAACAAAATTTATTGTTTTGTTTTGGTTTAAGTGAATTTAATCCTTCTGGAAAGAAGTGGATACTATATACATGCTTTTTACAATCTTGTCACTTTAAACTTACTCTGCAATCTGCATTGAGGCACATGGCTGAATTATATGACTAAAGAGTATCTCAATTCTAACAGGTACTTCTATATGGAGATTGGATGTCTGACCGAAAACTTTAGTAACCATAGACATAATAATGGAAGAATACTGTTGCATGGTGATGAAATCGCATACTCGCCTTTACATTTGGGCACCGATAACTGTGGCAAAGGAAAATACAAATTGAGACCGGGCTGGCAGTTACATTTGTACATATCACAGTTACCCTGTAGGAACTGGCGATCTCATGTTATCTTTTCTATACTGCATCTCGCATTGACTGTTTAAACTTTCTGCTGCTTGTTGTTGTAGGTGGAGACACATCACTCAGTTCCCAATTGTTTACTTCAGTTGGTCCTTTGGAACAAAGGGATAAGCAACACCACTCTGCAGACCATGATTCCATGACCAAGGAATTTTCAGAATCTTCAGCAATGGTGAACGGTAATGTTGGGAAATTTAACCTACGACTACTCCCTTGTATCCCTGCTATTTCAATTTTGAATTCCATATCACTGAAGATATACCTCGTTTTCCATCATTTAGTTGCTTTGCTCTGTTCACTTTCAAGGGTTGTCCAGGTTATTGCATTTGTATTCCAGTTGTTGTACTGATATTCTTAGAATGCTACTTTAGTGAAAACAAAGTGTTCATAACGCGAGAGAGAGAGAGAGAGAGAGAGAGAGAGAGAGAATTAGAACAGATGTAGAGTATTCACAAACCC